GTCTGCTAACCTGTGATGCCAGTCACTGTAAGTCAGTCTCTTAAGGGCATCCTTGGTGGTGCGCACCATACGTTCAGCCATTCCGTTGGTGGATGGGTGGAAAGGAGCAGAAGTTGCATGGCGGATCATGTTGGCCTGGAGGAAAACTTGGAACTCAGAAGAGGTGAATTGAGGACCATTATCTGAAACAAGAACATCTGGAAGGCCATGAGTTGCAAAAATACTTCTCAGCACCTGGATAATCTTAGCAGCAGTAGTGGAGGACACAGGAACAATCTCTAGACACTGAGAATGACTATCAACAACAACCAAGAAAAATTGCCCCTGAAAGGGCCCAGCGTAATCTATATGTACTCTGGACCATGGGGTGTGAGTTTCCTTCCATCTATGAACTGGGGCCTGAGGCATATCAGGCCGGGACTGTTGGCACACATGGCACCCATGCACTTGAGTCTCAATGGCTTTATCGAGGCCAGGCCATCACAAATGGCTGCGTGCAAGCGCCTTCATCCTGACTATGCCAGGGTGTCCCTCATGTAAAGAATGCAGCACTCTAGACCTCAGTGAGGTAGGGATTACTTCCCTACTTCCCCATAGCAGACAACCCTTGAAAGTGGACAACTCATGTCTTCTTTGCCAGAAACTCTGAAACCCAGTATCAGGGCATCTGTCAGGCCATCCTGACAACACCTATGACAGAACGCGTGTGAACGTGTGGTCAGTGGCAGTTTCAGCAGCCACATCCCTTGCATTGAGGGGAGACTCAGGCAGCTCTTGAATGGACAGAATATTAATGGCTGGAGCAGGAGCAGGCTCCAGTGTTGGAAGGGGTAATCTACTCAGAGCATCAGCATGACCCTTTTCCTTTCCAGGCTTGTGAATTAAAGAGTAGTCATATGCTGACAGGAAAATGGACCAACACAGCATACGAGGAGAAAGAATATGTGGGGTCTGTTTGGTTGTGGTGAACAACCCTAGCAGAGACTTATGGTCAGTGTAGACTGTGAAATGGCGGCCGTATATGAAATCATGAAACTTTTTAATACTAGTCACAATGGCTAGCGCCTCCCTGTCAATCTGAGCATAGTTCCGCTCAGCAGAAGACAAGGTTCTGGAGTAATTCGCTACAGGGACCTGTGTCCCATCAGCCAACAGATGGCTAAGAACTGCCCCGACTCCATATGGAGAAGCATCGCAGGCAATGCAAACAGGCAACTGCTCATTGAAGTGAGCCAGTACAGCATTAGAAGTACGCAAGGCCTTAACCTCATTGAAACCTTTTTCATGGACCTTAGTCCACTGCCAACAGGCTTGTTTGTCTAAGAGCCTGTGCAATGGCTCAGCTATAGCAGTTTTGTTTGGAAGAAAGGCATGGTAAAAATTTAGTAGCCCCAAAAAGGCTTGTAGTTCCCCTTTTGACTTAGGGCTTGGGGCCTGCTGAATGGCCTTTAATTTAGCTTCAGGAGGGTGGATACCTTGAGCATCTATCCTGAATCCCAAAAAGTCAGTAGAATTGACTTTTAACTTGAGACCTGCTTCCCTAAAACGAAGCAAGACAGTCCTTAATCTCTCAGCCAAGATTTGAGGTGATTCTCCTGCAATGAGGACATCATCAAAATATGGACAGACTCCTGGAATACCCCTCAGTGTGTTCTCCATAATACTCTGGAAAATGCCAGGGGCTACATTTACCCCAAATTGCAATCTCTTCACTTTAAAAGCTCCTCTATGAGTCATAATCGTCTGAGACTCTGCAGCTGCCTCATCAACAGGCAACTGTTGATAGGCCTGTGCCAGGTCAAGCTTCGCAAAAATCCACCACCCCCCTTTAGGGAAGCCAGAATGTGACTTACTACAGATACTGGATAAGTGTGTTGCTGTAGTGCCTTGTTTAGTGTGCACTTGTAGTCCGCACAAATACGAATGTCCCCATTAGCCTTTAAAGGCGTTACTATAGGGGTTTCCCAAGGATTAGAATCTACAGGCTCTAGAATGCCCTGCTGGAGCAATTTGTCCAGTTCAGCATCAATCTTGTTTTTAAGTGCAAACGGAACTCGCCTAGGCTTGACCCTAGTGGGTGCTGTGGATGGATCTAATTTTAGTGAAACTGGAGGCCCCTTGTAGGTTCCAAGCTCAGAGCTGAACACATCTGCAAATTCCCTGCAGACTTCTGCAAGGCTAGACATTTGCAAATGGTGCAGCCCCATGACCTGGATTCTCAGAGCCTCAAACCAATTGAGTCCAATAAGACTTGCAAGTTCACCCCAAACAACCAACACATCTAAAGAACCCTCAAAATCCTTGTACTGTACCTTAAGGGTGGCCTCCCCCTTTACACATACCTTAGAATTCTGAAAGTCTGTAAGTATCACAGTGGATGGCCTGAGTTTCACTCGACGGCCACTGCTGCTGCAAATCTTCCTGAATGTGTTGAGGGAAATAACGAAGAGAGCAGAACCAGTGTCCAATTCCATGGATAAGGGAACCCCTTGCAACTTTACTTTAAGGGACAACTTCTTTTTTAGGGGTTTATGTGTGCCTGTCCTCAGAATACTTCTGCGTGTTGCGCAGAAACCCACCCTATTTTGGCTGGGGACCCTGGTACCTTTCAGATGCAATTCTTCTTTAGGTTGTACCTTCTGACGACTCAGACATATGGCTGCTATGTGGCCTTGCCTTCCACAGGCCCTACAAATGACGAACCGGAACCAGCAGTCTACTCTTCTGTGGTGTCCTCCACATCCGTAGCATTGTGAAGTTATTGAAGCCTTCTCTATGCCATCTCTCTGTCTCCTTCCGGCTGCCTGGTAGAGCTTATTCACCTCATCTTCAGGAAGCTCTTCCGAATCTTCTTGAACATTCTCCTGGTGGACAGCAACAGTCTCTGGAGGGCTTCTGGTGGGCCGCATGTTTTTTACTGCTCCGCCTGCTGCTTCCTCTGCTGTAACTTCTTGTAGAGCATCTTGGAATGAAATGTCTTCTTTCATGAAGATCTTTTGCTGTAAGTCTCTATTTCTCAGTCCATACACAAAACGATCATGCAGTCTTTCCTCTAAGTCTTTAAATTAACACAGTCTAGCTGCTCGCCTCAATGCTGCGATAAAGTCCTTAGCAGATTCTTCTGCTCTCTGATCCCTTTGTTCAAACGTGTGCTTCCATGCAATGATGGACTGCTTGGGCTGAAAATGTTCTTTTAGAAGTTTCTTTAAGTCTGTGTATGTTACACCTTCCAGCGAAGCAGGAGCCACAAGGTTTTCAGCAATTTCAAAAGTCTCTTGGCCACATACACACAACAATGTGGCAGCCTTCAGCCCATCTTCACGAACTTGGTTAACCCTAAAATAGTTCTCTACTCTTGAAACGTATGATTCCCATCGTTCTGGGTGTGCGACATCAAATTCTGACAAGCGGCAGATTTTTGCCATTGTAGTTCGTGCTGCACCACTCGCTTCTGCAGGGAAAGGGTCTCTCAGCCAAACTGAGAGTTTGGGTAAGTCTTAAAGCTTTCTTCTAGCTTTCCTTGTTAAGAATCCCATCCTCGTCACCAGTGTTAAGTCCTTAGAGCGATGGCGAATGAAGAATACACATATTTCTGGAACAGCTCTTTATTTATTTTTTTATTGAAAATTTTTAAAATTTTACAAAATAAGAAAAAACAACCCTCCCCAACCCAACCCAACCCTCCCAGTCCCTCCCTCAACTTTCCCAGAGCTGAATATAGGCTTAATTAAATTTTCTTGAATTCTTAAAAAAAATATATAAACCATAGATAAGTCTAAATACATTACTTAAACTACTAATAGAATAATTAAGAATAACATATCTGACAAACCACAGTCCTAGATCGTCCAGAATGAGGGTCAGGAACGCAGGAACTTGGTGCACGTTAGCAATTTTTTTATTTACTAACTGACAAAGTCAGCACTGGGGATAACTTCTCCCGAGAGCTCTTTATAATGTGTCCACGCCCACATTCCCACCCTCCACCCACAAACCACCATCCGGTTAATTATCCTTATAACCCCACCCCCGTGCCCTAACCCCCCTCCCCGTGCAGCTCCACCCCCTATGGTCCAGCGTCCGCCCGCCTGCTGTTGCTGCCGCATGTTTGCTGTCTTCAGTTGCAACGGTAAGTTTATGTGCTCAGCCATACCGACAGTACTGTGCGCCTCCTTCCCTTCTAGGGCCACGCCGGGGTTGGCTTGTAGCTGGGGAGGGTGCTCTGGGTCGGCTGCGGGACCCTCCACTACTCCGGAGAGGGACCGCACGCTGCCCGACATGTCCGGCCACTCCCCGTCTCCCTGCTGGTTGGTAGCATTCAACGTTGGCTGGGAGGCCGTCGGCCGTTCCTACGCTCCCAGCTGGCCGTTGGGGTGTTGCAGTCCGGTTCTGGCACCCTCTGCAGCGCTGGGCAGAAGGCCCACGCCGCCCGCCAGTGCCGGTGCCTTCCCCCCTCTCAGCTGGGCGGCAGGACGCCTTGCAGCCGCAGCGTCTTCTCCGGCGACTAGGGCCGGCTGGGAGGCGGCGGGCTGCTCCCCTGCTGCCGGCTCCTCCCCGCCTTCCAGCTGAGCGGTGGGACGCCTTGCAACCGCGGCGCCTTCTCCAGTGACTAAGGCTGGTCGGGAGGCGGCAGGCTGCCTCCCCGCTGCCGGTTCCTCCCCGCGTCTCAGCTGGGTGGCGGGGCATCTTGTGGCCACGGCAGTGAAGACTGGCCGGGAGGCAGTAGGTTGTTTCTCTCCTTCCGGCACGCTGTTGCGGCGGTGTGGGCTGGCTTCGGCTTGGCATGTTGGTGGGGGTGGGGTTGTTCGCTCCTTTCCCCCCCCACTGAATGGCAAGCCCCTTGGGGCTTGACATGCGGCTCCTCCTACCACGTCCTCACCTGCAAGAAAATGACAAGAGAGTGAGTTTCCTTGGTTGTGTTGTGCCTGGACCGGTTTCTCTGGCCAGCGCTTGTGGAAAGCCCGTACGAGTCGTAGGGCATGCACGTCCCCCTCCCTCACCCAGGATGCTTCCAACAGGGGATATCCCTTCCATTTGACAAGGTACTGCAATTGGCCACGTCTCATTCGGGAGTCGATTATCTCCTGTACCTCATACTCTTCCCCAATGACTGGTCCAGGCCCCTTAGCACCCACAGCGGGTCCTTGTACTAACTTTAACAAGCTGCTGTGAAACACCGGGTGCACCTTTCCTAGAAGGGGGGGTAGCCTCAGACGTACTGTGACTGGGTTAATTACTTTGACCACTTGAAAGGGACCTACATATTTTGGGCCTAATTTCTTGTTAGGTACCGGCAGCCTAAGATATTTTGTCGATAAGTAGACCCAATCCCCCACTTTAAAGGGTGGGTGTTCAGTTCTTTTTTTATCGGCCTGATGTTTGGTGGTTGCCTCTGCTCTTTGTAGAGCGTCCTTTATTATTCCCCAAAGTCCTGTTAGTCGCGTCATCCATGCTTGGGGCATGTATACGTTACCCGTCCCGTCGGACCACTCCGGAAAGGGGACAAACTCCACCCCGTTCACCACCCGGAATGGAGCGAACCCGGTACTACTATGTATGGTGTTGTTGTACGCCACCTCAGTGAATGGCAGTAAATCTGCCCAGTCAGTTTGCTGGAAGGTGACGTAACTACGTAGGTACCGCTCAACCATAGCATTCGCCCTTTCTGCGGCACCGTTGGTAGACGGGTGGTAGGCCGAACTAAGACCCTGGGATGATCCAATTAAGGTTAGGAATGTACGCCAGAATTGGGCTGTAAACTGTACTCCTCTGTCCGAAATGATACGTTGTGGCACGCTGTGTAGTCGGTAAACATGCTGTACAAACATTCTGGCAAGCCGCTGCGCCGACGGCAACCCTTTACATGGGATGAAATGGGCCTGTTTCGAGAAGAGATCGATTACAGTCCATATTACTGGGTAGTTGCGGCTTGAGGGTAACTCTACAATAAAGTCCATTGCGATCTCTTCCCAGGGTTGTCGTGGATCTGCTACTTTCTGTAGTAGGCCCATTGGCTTTCCCACTCGAGGCTTCGCGGTAGCACAGACGTGACAGGCTTTGACATACGTTTCCACGTCTGGTTTTAGGTGGGGCAACCAAAATTGCCGTCGAATGTGATGGAGGGTTTTCCGGAAGCCGAAATGTCCTGCTTGCTTGGCGTCGTGGCATCTCTTAAGGACAACTGAGCGTAATTTTTCAGGGACATAGAGTTTGTCGGCTTTCCACGCTAGCCCATCCCTTTGGGTTAGTAGGCCTGGATGGTTCTGTAACCACTCATCATGCACTACAGCCTCCCGCAACTCTGGTAGTGTAACGGTAGTCTTTCAGGATGTCTTTATGCCCGCTACCCTGTGAGTACAGGTAGGGATTATTGCCTGTACAACCTCCTCTCGATCACTATGGTATTGGGGAAGGCGGGATAGTGCATCCGCAAGAAAATTTTTCCCTCCCGGTACATATTTCAGAGTAAACCGGAACCGAGTAAAATATTGGGCCCACCGGACGTGTTTTGGTGATAAGCGCCGTGGTTTCTGTAGCACTTCAAGGTTTCAGTGATCAGTCCACACCTCAAATGGGTGAGGGGAGCCTTCCAGCAGGTGCCGCCAGGTCATTAAAGCCCATTTGACCGCATAGGCTTCCTTTTCCCAAATGGCCCATCCGCGCTCTGTCGCAGTGAATTTACGAGACGTATATGCGCACGGCTGCAGTAACTCCTGTTGATTTGGTTGGAGTAGGACAGCCCCTACAGCTACGTCGCTCGCGTCAGCCTGGACGATGAATGGAGCATCAGGGATTGGATGGAGCAATATTGGCTCCTTCGCAAATAGCGCTTTAATTTCCTCGAATGCTTTCTGGCAGGCCATAGTCCATCCTACTGGCTGGCCAGGTCGTGGCTTACCTTTCAGGTGTTTTGTTTTTAATAGTTCTGTTAAAGGGTGAGCCACGCCAGCAAACGACGGAATAAATTGCCGGTAGAAATTGGCGAATCCGAGGAAACTTTGTAACTGCCTTCGGGTGGTAGGGGCCTGCCAATCGAGAACTGCTTTAACCTTAAGTGGATCCATTTCCACTCCCGCCACTGATATGCGATAGCCCAAATAGTCCAACCGCGTACGATGAAACTCGCATTTGGATAGCTTGACGTACAATTTTGCCTCCAATAGTTTCTCTAATCCCTTTCGTACCAAGGCAACATGCTCCTCCATAGTTGTGGTATAAATCAGGATGTCGTCAAGATAGACGAGGATGCCCCGATAAAGGTGTTCGTGCAATACTTGGTTTATTAATTGCATGAAGGCGGCGGGGGCCCCCTGTAGCCCAAAGGGCATAACACGGTACTGGAAACTCCCCAGGGGACAATTAAATGCCATCTTCCATTCGTCCCCCCGTCGTATTCGTATGCGGTAATACGTCTCCCGCAAATCTAGTTTGGTAAATATCCTCCCTTTCCCTAATTGGACCAGTAGGTCCTTCATAAGGGGAAGTGGGTATAAATGCTCCACGCACACAGCATTCAATCCCCGGAAGTCAACACAGAGACGTAATGATCCGTCTTTCTTTTCTCGAAACAATACAGGGGCCGCAACTCGAGACCGAGCTGGTTGGATGAAGCCGCGTGCCAGGTTCACATCAATGAACCGTCGCAGTTCTTCCAATTCTTTGAGTGTCATGGCATACATCCGAGGTTTTGGAAGTTTAGCCCCAGGTTCAATTTCAATGCCACAATCCGTCGGTCGATGGGGGGGTAGTTGGTTGCACTCTGTTTCACTAAACACTGCAGCCAGGTCCTGATATTCGTGGGGAAACAGGTCCTCCCCTCCCCCACTCATTCCACACACGGGGGTCGGTGTGTCCACCCCTGGAACCCGACACTGACTGGGGGGTTGAGGTCCCACTCCCAAGCGTACTCTACGGTACCCCCCTTCCCACCAGATAGTGGGCTCCCACTTATCTAGCCATGCCAGACCGAGGATCACAGCCTCACTCATGGCCGGTGCCACGACGAACTGGATGGTTTCCCAATGGGCTCCCAGCTCCAACCGTATGGCCTCGGTAATATGGGTCGCCGGAGCCCCACCCAGCAAGGAGCCGTCCACTTGTTCGAACCGTACGGGCTGGGCCAACCTATGTAGATGGATCCCATGCTCCAGAGCTAATTCCCGGCTAATTAAGCAACGGGTGCACCCTGTGTCTATCAGTGCCTTACATTCCCACTGTTCCCCGGAGTGGGGACTCGTTAGGACTATAGGTAGAATGAAAGGGGCTATAGGTTCGCTTACCATCGGATCGTCGATGGGGTCGTCATCACTTTCCTCGTCGACTGGCCGATACTGCGCCGTCACCATGGTATCCAGTGGTGTTGACGGGGTCTTCGGATGGGCTGCAGCTTTTGTCGCGTCGGGACCCTTCTGAGGCGTTTGTGCTGGGGCCCTCGGGGTACCGGACACTCGTGGGGTGGGAGCCGGGCACTCGGCTGCCTGGTGTCCCAGCTGATTACACCGGAAGCATCGAAACACCGTGCCACTAGGCGGACCGGCCGGTCCGGGGTACCTAGCTGGACTAGTGGGTGGTCTCTGTCCGCTCTCCCTCGGTTTCCCCACTGGTATCCGTGTCTGGTGGCCGTCCTGAGTCCTCTGGGCCTCCCTGAGATTGGTATCGAGGTCCACAGCTGCGCGGAACCATTCCCGGAGGCGATTGGGAATGCCCCTGTAAATACATGCCTGGCGCAGCTCCTGATCCAGCCCGGCCCGGAAGTGATGGATTAGTGACCTATCCGGCCAGGACAATGTGAGCCGGCCAGCTAGTCGCCGGAAGTCACGGACGTATTCCGCAACCGGTCTGCCACCCTGTCTCAGGGACAGGAGCTCCGACTTGGCCCGCTGAACCCGGGAAGAGTCCTCAAAGCGATGATGGAGTGCCTCCAGGAACGAACCCACATTACTGAGTACCCTAGCGTGATCGCTATATAGGTCGGCGGCCCAGGCCACCGCCTCTCCTTGTAGCCCCGCTGTAACCCCCACTACCATGGCCCATTGGGACGGGTATAAATGGCCATAGCGGTCCAGGTGGCTAACCACGTGGCTTATGAACATTGCCAACCTGTCCGGATCCCCGTCAAAAGTAATGGGGAGGGCTGGCGGGCCCCATTGTTGACCCGGGCCCCAATGCGCAGGCGGCACTACCCCATCACCTCTGGCCGATGTGTCTGGACCAAGCCCCGCAACTGGACTGTGTGTCCTCCTGCCAGAAGGCTGTGCCAAGCCGACGGGGCCCATGCCAGTAGGCCACGATGCCGGACCCACAGGGCCTGTGGAATCCATCCCGGAAATTGCAGGCCCCGCCGCCAAGGCATCCCCCTGCTGGGGTAGTCGAAAACGCAGACTGCTCAGCCGGAATTGCGAGGTGTCCGCCCGTCCAGAAGTGCCCTCTGATCGTTGACGTGAGGAACGGCCCTGGCAGCTGCCCTCACCGAACCGTTCACGTAGGACATCCAATGTGTACTCACCAGGAGCGGTGGAGTAGCTCCATTCATCCTCATCCTCGCCCGTTAACCGCCTCTCCCTCCAACCAGGTAGGGATGGCCTACCCGGCAGGTTGCGGGATCGCCCAGCCTCCAACGATGTCAAGGCCGGGCTCTGCCACCACTCCTCCCTTGGCTTGACAGCCCCAGCCTCTGTGGTCACCACCGCAGGGCCGGACCCCTGGATGGTTTTGGGCCTTACTACCGGCTGCTCCTCCCCTGCCACGACTGTCTGGGCAGGTCCTGTGGGGCCAGTGGCCGCAGACCCAGGCAGCAATGTATCTTCCACCGGGGTTGCATCCTGCTTCCCTTCTGCCATCCCTCAGAGGTGAAGTGAAGACAGAAAGTAGGCAAAATAAAGTAAGGAGTGCTGACTTACTGACAAACCACAGTCCTAGATCGTCCAGAATGAGGGTCAGGAACGCAGGAACTTGGTGCACGTTAGCAATTTTTTTATTTACTAACTGACAAAGTCAGCACTGGGGATAACTTCTCCCGAGAGCTCTTTATAATGTGTCCAAGCCCACATTCCCACCCTCCACCCACAAACCACCATCCAGTTAATTATCCTTATAACCCCACCTCCGTGCCCTAACCCCCCTCCCTGTGCAGCTCCACCCCCTATGGTCCAGCGTCCGCCCGCCTGCTGTTGCTGCCGCATGTTTGCTGTCTTCAGTTGCAACGGTATGTTTATGTGCTCAGCTGCTGGCCAGTCCTTTCCAGCCATACCGACAGTACTGTGCGCCTCCTTCCCTTCTAGGGCCGCGCCGGGGTTGGCTTGTAGCTGGGGAGGGTGCTCCGGGTTGGCTGCGGGACCCTCCACTACTCCGGAGAGGGACCGCACGCCGCCCAACATGTCCGGCCACTCCCCGTCTCCCTGCTGGTTGGTAGCATTCAACGTTGGCTGGGAGGCCGTCAGCCGTTCCTGCGCTCCCAGCTGGCTGGCGGGGTGTTGCAGTCCGGTTCCGGCACCCTCTGCAGCGCTGGGCAGAAGGCCCACGCCGTCCGCCAGTGCCGGTGCCTTCCCCCCTCTCAGCTGGGCGGCAGGAGGCCTTGCAGCCGCGGCGTCTTCTCTGGCGACTAGGGCTGGCCGGGAGGTGGCGGGCCACTCCCCTGCTGCCGGCTCCTCCCCGCCTTCCAGCTGAGCGGCGGGACACCTTGCAACCGCGGCACCTTCTCCGGTGACTAAGGCTGGTTGGGAGGCGGCAGGCTGCCTCCCCGCTGCCTTTCCTCCCCGCGTCTCAGCTGGGTGGCGGGGCGTCTTGTGGCCGCGGCAGTGAGGACTGGCCAGGAGGTTGTTTCCCTCCTCCCGGCACGCTGTTGCAGCAGTGCAGGCTGGCTTTGGCTCGGCGTGTTGGTGGGGGTGGGGTTGTCCGCTCCGTTCCCCCCCCACCGAATGGCAAGCCCCTTGGGGCTTGACAATATATATAAAAAAAGAGATAAATATTAAAAAAAAGAAAATACCTAAAAAAAGAAGAATAAAGAGAAAGAAAGAAGAAAAGAAATATAAGAAAATAAAATAATAATAAAACATATAAAGAAAAAGAAAAAATAATACAATCTATAAAATATTAAAATTTGTATATAAATTATTGATAAACTAAGTAATATTTTTTTATATCCAACTTATGTTGTATAAAATCTATCCATTTTTCCCATACCACAAAAAACTTCTCTTGCGATTGATCCTTTAAAAAAGCCGAAATCTTTGCCATTTCCGCCAGATAGGATACTTTAAAAAACCACTCTTGCAAAGTAGGCAAAGATTCCTTCTTCCAATATTGCCCTACTAAAAATCTTGCGGCTGTAATTAAATTTAACATCAATACAACCTCCTTAATATCTTGATTAATTTTAAGCTTTACTCTTGGTTTTTTCCCCGCCCAGATAAATTTATTGATACCTTTCTGCCATTCATTTAAATTGACCTCATTCTTTAAGATAGGTATCATTTGAAATAAGAAAAGGAATTTAGGCAGGACATTCATTTTAATCGCCGCAATTCTTCCCAAAAGAGATAATTGCAACTTCTCCCAATTTTTCAAGTCTCTTTGTATCCTGACCCACAACCTTTCATAATTATTTTTATACAATTTTACATTAGAGAAAGATAAAGTAACCCCCAAATATTTTACCTTATCAACAACCTCAAAATCTGTCAGATTAACCGAAGTCTGCTTATCCATATTAGTCATATTTTTGGGTAGTATTTTAGTCTTATTGTTATTAATTTTAAAACCCGAAACCCGTCTATATTGATATATCAATTGTAATAACTCTATTACAGAGTGAGTAGGTTGGGACAGGGTAACCACCAAGTCATCTGCAAAAGCTCTTAGTTTATATTCTTTTTTGTTAACTTCTATTCCTTTTATTTGCTGTGATTCTCGAATTTTAATCAACAATATTTCCAAAGTTAAAACAAACAGCAAAGGTGACAATGGACATCCCTGTCTAGTCCCCTTTTCTATTGTAAAAACCTCATTTTATCGATTAGTCTTAACATAAATTGCCAATTCAATTGGTCAAAAGCTTTCTCAGCATCTAGAAATATCAATCCTGCAGAGACTTGATTATTTTTATCTAGATATTCTAATAAGTTAATAATTTGTCTGACATTATTCTTCATATACCTTCCAGTTATAAAACCCGTTTGATCCTTATGTATAATCTGACACAAAACCCTCATAAGCCTATTAGCTAATATTTTGCAAAAATCTTATAATCTACATTTAAAAGAGATATAGGTCTATAATTCTTTGGTAAAGTAAGATCTTGATCTTCTTTTGGAATTAAAGATATAAAGGCTCTGCCCCATGACAGAGGAATCTCTAAACCCTGTAATATATTATTAAAAAGCTGTCTTAAAGGTTGAATCATCTCTTGTACCAAAGTTTTATAATAAATAGATGTCAAACCATCCGTACCCGGTGCTTTACCTAATTTTAATTCTTTAATCACTGTCTCAATTTCCTCACTAGTAATTGGACTATTAATTTCTTGTTTCTGATCTTCTGTTAATTTAAGAAAGTTGACTTCATTTAAATAATTATCTATATCTGAGACCTGTATTTTAGTACTCTTATATAATTTTTGATAATGATCTAAAAAAGATTTCTTAATCAACTCCTTCTGATATACCAATTTACCATTATGATTTATTTTATCTATAATTCTCTGTCTCTGTTGCTTTCTGAATTGGTAAGCCAACCATCTCCCTGGTTTATTAGCATTACAAAATGTATTTTGTCTCATATACAGTAAGTTAGTTGCAGTTTGATCAGCCATCAACATATTAAATTGTGATTTAAGCAATTTTATAGATTCTTTAAACTTTTCATCTGTAGGATTTGAAATCAAAAATTTTTCTTTTAATTTAATCTCATCTTCCAAATCCTTACGTTTCTGAATCTGCTTTTGTCTGTGAGTATTATTCATTTGTATCAAGATCCCACGCATGAAGGCTTTAACTGCATCCCATACCATTGACATTGATGTTCCCTTATGCATATTTAAAACAAAATAATCCTTTAAATGCTCCTTTAATTTTTGAACATTCTTTTCTTGTCTAAATAAGTTTTCATTCATCCTCCACGATCTCCTCTCCTCTTTTTCATCAACCAACTCCATCCAAACTGAACTGTGGTCCGTCAAAGTCCTAGGAAAAATCTTAGCATTCTTTACCCTAAAGTATAAATCAGTTGTAATCAAGAAAAAATCAATTCTTGAAAAGGATTGGTGTCTGTCTGAAAAGAAAGTAAAGTCTCTCTCCTCCTGATTGCGTTCCCCCCAGTAGTCTCTCAGCTCCCAGTCCTCTTTCAAATCAAAAAAGGCTTTAGGTAGTTTAGCCTGTTTAAAAAAAGTAGAAGATCCTTTTTTGTCTCTTTGTATATCTAACACACCATTCCAATCACCCATTAATATCACAGATCTATAATCCAACAAAGTTAATTTCTGATGTACCAATCTGTAAAATTGTTCCTGTTGTTGGTTTGGTGCATACAACCCCACTATAAGTATTTTCTTCCCATATAAACCAATCATAACATATCTCCCTTGAAGATCAGATTCTACCAAACAGGCTGATAAGTTTTGCTTAACATAAATGACTACTCCCCCTTTTTTCCCAGGAGTAGAAGATACAAAATGAGATCCCAAACGAGCATTGGCTAAATGTTTTTGGTCTTTAGATAAAATATGTGTTTCCTGCAAACAAATAATATCATTATTATGTTGCTTTAAGTAATGAAAGATTTTCTTTCTCTTTTGGGGGGAATTAAGGCCATTAGCATTCCAGGTCAGGAGCTTTACCGTCTCCCTTAACCAACAGCCTGGAGAAGACTGCTTGAAGATCTGCCATAGAAGAATGTGCTGCAGAACTCTTGGGTCTTGCTCCTCCCACCAGCAACGAAGCAATTTCTTGAAGAGATTCTTTAACTTCTTTCTTCTGTTGTTCCTTTTCCTTGCGTCTATGTGCTGCATGGGTCATTCTTTGCTCTTTGATCTCTGTTTGTCGCGACCATTCCACCTGTGGCTTTCCAGCAACCATCACACCTTGTCCTTCAGACTGTTGTTCCACCTCTTTACCATCCAAAGCTTTCTGCATCATAAATGATGGTGAGCCTGCTCCCAGGACCGAACTGTAAAACTCCTTTGCTTTAGTAACTGTATTGAGTCTGTAACGTGTCCCCGCATGGCTCAACAATATCCGTCGGAATCTCCCATCTGAATGGCATCATTCTTGTTTTAAGTTCATTAGCTAGAAAAGCAAAATCTTTTCTCTTTCTTAAAATTTTAGATGGGATCTCCTTTAAGATAATGACATCTTGAGCAGCAATCTGAAACCTCTTATTATAGAAAGCTTGTATAATTTCATTACGCAGAGATCTCTTTGCAAAATAAATCACCACATCTCTTGGTAACTTCTTCTGTTTTGCGACCCAGGAATTAACTCTGTAAACTTTTTCCACTTCTCTAAGTATTCCATCTTTCTCCCTATTCAGAATAACAGCAAAGTCATTTACCACAATTTCTGCCAGATCTTGTTGCATATCCTCTTTCAGACCCCTGATTCTTAAAGCATATTCCATTTCCCTATACTGAGACATAACAAATCTTTTTTTCCATGCCTTCAAATTTATCTTCCAGGGTATCAACCTTTTCTTCAACCTCTTCAACCCTTGAATCAAGCTTCTCAACCACAGAAGCCAGTCCTGATAGAGCCATAACTATATCTTGCCTCAGAATAGTGTTATTCTGCTCTAACAGGTTCTTCATTTCTCCTCTGATTTGAGTTTTATTCTGATCTAAAAGCTCCTTCATTTCCCCTCTAATTTCAGTTTTGTTCTGATCTAAAAGCTCCTTCATTTCCTCTCTGATTTGAGATACAGCATTTCCCATTATATCTTTCATGTCTTGTACAGATAATACTGGCAGAGGAGGAGAAGATGGTGGTGTAAGTTTAGGTTGTTGTACCGGTGTAGCTTTAGGTTGTTGTACCGGTAAGATCGCAGGGGAAGAAGCCACCTTTAGGAACTGTAGAATCTGCTTGCCTCTTTGAAGCCATTTTTTAAAAAAGGAAAAATCTTATTTCCTCTTCTTCCTTCTTAAAGAAAATACAATAAAAAATCCTCTAGAAAAAAATAAAAAGCAAAGGAGAGTTTAAAAGCTATTTCAAAAACACAAAACCACCTTCTAAAAAAAAGTTTAAAAAATTTAAGTAGAAAAAACTAAATAGTCCATAACATTCCATTTGACTCGCTTTCTTCCGAAAAAAAAAGCACTTTCAAATCACCATTTTACTTTCACTCTCCACACAAGCAAAAAACAAAGAAAAAGAAAAGAAAATCAGCCTAAACTAAAAAGGAAATAAAAAATCAATAAGTCCAATCCTTTATCCAGCTCTGTCCGCCTTTAAAAATCACTCACTCAGTCCTTTTAAGCGTGCGGAGATGGTAGCGGCGTTTCGCTTTGTTCCCGAAGGAACAGAGACAGCTGGGAGGCGGAGGCAGCCCGAACTCCGAGGGAGCTCTCTTTCTACTCCCCAGAAAAAAAATCCTGGAGGGTTTAAGAGGCTCTACCTCTATTCGGGTGATTCTCTACCCCCTCCCTTCACCCGGGAGGGGGATTTCGAGCTGTGGGACAGCTGATCTCTGCTGTGCTCCGCGGTTCTCACGCCGTCCCAGGAGGACGGCTACAATGTAGCCGCCATCATCGACGCTATCCACCGGAAGTCTCCGGAACAGCTCTTTATTGCTTATGTCAAACTCCAACAACGAGCAAAGCCTCCTTTTATACGTCCCCATTCCCCGGACAAGATGGCAACATTATTAGGCACTTTTCGCACCTTGCGCATGTGCGCTTGGTCAGCACCACTCAGTCTGGTCCCGGGCAGCTTTTGCAATTGCCCAGGAACCTTGCAATGTCCTGAGCCTGCATTTGCAGGCTCAGGACACAACACTACCCAAGAAAAGTTTAGAGCAATCTCAGCAACTTTAAGAAATGTGGAATTCAGTTCCTTAAATTCCCCAGCCAATATTAGTTGAAGTCCACTACTGAGAAAATGAGAAATGATGTAGAAATTTATTTATCAAGTGTTACAGAGGGGTGGTGTGCACATGATCAGATACAGTCAGAGTTAATAATGATAATAATTAACCTGCCATGTACAGAGGAAAAATTAACCCTTTCCAGATGTACAGAATATGTTGGCCCAAAGAAAATACTAGCAAGATTTTTTTTTTCACTTAATCTAGATGTATATTCTAGATGTCACAGATAGTATCAAACACAGGCAGGCAGAATGACAATTGCTCTACACTGGGCAATTAATTGGCAGAGTAGGGGCACAAACTTTCTCTAAACTGACCTTCTCTCCTTTGTCTGTTAAATATTGGGTCTCTGTAGCTACTCTGTAAAATTGATTCATAAGGAGAGTCAAGGCTGGAAGCAAGCAACCAATACATTTATATTCATCACTAGGTAGATCATAACTGAGGTTTTTAATGCCAGAAGTTTCCAACAATGGCTAAACGCATGCTCTAATCACTGTCAGAATCAACCATGAATCACAGCAGTTATTTTTTATTATTTAATAATTCTGTTATTTAATACTATTCATGAAAGATCACACAAATTCATTTATTTATACTGTCAAATAGTTTGAAAATCCCTGAGTTAATACAATGTGTAAAACCAGCCAATGAGAACAAATATGTTCTGTGCACCAAACTTTTCTTCTAATCAAGTATTGCTTGTTTATATACTAGTTAACCTAAGTCTCCTCAAAGGATTGGTTGATGACTAAAATGAATGTTTGTGCCTTGTGCTCTTTAGAGAAAGGCAGGTTAGGAAAAAGCCAAGAGAATGTCTGAAAATCTGAAATGGAAGAAATTCTAAGAGGATAGGGAAGAGGCCTATGTTGACCATACTAATTTATTTGCCCACAGTCCTTTCATCCAGTGAATCTCAGTAGTATAATTGCCAAAAGTAATGAAAACCAGAGTTATGCAATGGTCAAATCTATTCTCTAGTTATTATTTCTCAGTCAATACTATTCTTGTGGTAAGGAAAAATTGAAGAAGACGGTACTTAGCTCCTGGAAAAAAAAGTAAGGATAGCAATCTAAATAATAATAAAAATAGCAATATTTTGTGCTATTTGAAAGCAGGAATTCCTTCATAAGATTCAGACTTTAGCTATTGATGGTGACTTAACTGAAAAGAACCAAGATGCCCAATGGGAATAAATGGTAAATCCTAACTATATACACATGTATAATATGGCCTTGTATCACCCCATCCACTATGGCTCTTCCTCATTCAAAATATTACATACCCCTGATTTCTATTATTTTCTTGTGTTGAATTTGCTTTGTATATAAAAATATGTTTCAAGCTTGAAACTGCCCCATTTCAAGCTCAAAAAAGGTACAGAATAACCTATTTTCAAGTTGGAACAATTCTTTCAAACTCAAAGCCTTTCACCTTCCCAACATTTTGCACACATTACAAACAGTAAAGTCATCAGGACTAATGTACTGATTCTCATTCCCAATATGTTCTTCTGAAAGTAGTAAGAGGTATTGCAGGAAAACCTGTAAATATAGGATCGTATAACTTGCCAAATTTTGCATTTCCAATTTAATTTGCAGAATACTGCAATCTAAACATGGTAATAGAATAATTAGTTAAGCCAAAGGCCACATATTTGCACGGCCAACAATGTTCTCATCACCAGGAAATGATAAGTGTAGCATTTGCAATGAATTAGCTAAGATTTTATCATAGCAAGCTGCTGTGGGGAGCCAATCTCAGCATGAGTTTCTGAATCAGGGTTACAGCAGTTGTAAGTATAGGTTTTATAGCTTTGGAGTTTGCCCAACAGACCTTCTAGGAGTCATGAATACTTCAAAGCTCATCACTAGATCTTCCTCCTCTTCTATTAGACTGACATTTAACTAACACCTGGAAGACTCTGCCAAGCTGCACTACTGTGTCTACCTTTGTGAAGCCTTCTCAATAAATTATCTTCCTAGTTTAGAAATATGTAATTAATTGTAATCCTAGTAGGTTTTTAATCAGTCTCTCTCTTCCTGCTGCCTCATCAATAACTTCTATCTTTATAGGAGCTCTGAAAAAAAAAATCAAGAATGATTCATACTTGAAAAGGCACAAAGCCAAATACTCAACAGCTTCTTCCGGATCTCTGTGTTGCATTTCAACATGTTCTTTTTTTTTCTTTTTGTTTCCTCTTTCCAAATCTAAAAGTTAAAAATAGTATGAGAAGGGTTAAAATATATGCAGAGTGTAACTTATACTAAGACTTGTCTATTTTCTGTCCAGACATTTATTGCATTCTATCAGAGTTAAAATATATGCAGTGAGAGAATAAAACATGAGGCTGTGCATGGCTTTGATTTCAGATCCAGAAAGATATTTCAAAATGTGGGTCTACAAACACAACACCTGCCCGTCACTACTTAAAGCCACATCTTTTCCTAGGATCACATTATAATGCTATCTTCTCTTGACATCATGTAACAAGAAATTATATTTCTATTTTATGCTATTTTAAGCAGTTGTATAAAGGTGCTCTTTTCATACACTCTGAAATACCTTTCCCAAATAATTTCTAAAGTACAGCAGAGCCCAACTGAAGAATTCTGACCAGGTACAAATTATGTTTTCATTTCTACTAAGTTATACATAAAGCACCAACTGGGAAAGTAGTAACATCATTATTTTCAATCTGAATGGTTACCTAATTTTGCACATTGAAAGCAATATAGGAATTGAAACAGTTTAGCTTTTGAAACTTGGATTTCTCAAATGATATTTGGCACAAAGAAAAAGGAACTGAAATTTATCCATTAGTTGAAATATACAAGAAATAGGAAGAGGTTACTGTTTTGGTATGAATCCTTTTTCTTTCTAAAGCAATTGTTAACAAAAGAAAGTTTCAGTTTTAATATGTCTCAGATCACATAGTGAGCAGAATAGATTTTTATAATTTTCTTAAATTATCTGAAAAACTTTCCAACCTTCCAAAATCTTTCAACACTCTGCCATAAGAGAAATTTTACTATTGCACAATAATTATACTATTGCAAATGTTTCTTCTTCCTTGAAATAGTTTCCATCTTCTAAACCACCAATTCATGATTTTACAAATATTTGATGTAGTTGGAAGTACAGTGGTGTGTGTGTGTGTACAATAATTAATTCTTGAATAAGTTTACTTTTTACTAAGTACAAGTTCTAATAAACATGCTTATAAAGCACCAAAAACCTTTCAGAAAAGTTCTAGATAATTTCCCTGAGAATCTGTGTTTCTTCGCACCTATATTTTCTTTTGCAGGACTAAGATTGTAATACTTCTTTATTGTAATATTTGTTAATGCTAGCATTTGTTAATATATTAACAATTGACTTCTCTGAACTTTCATGAGTTTGAAAGAGTTCAGATGATCATGCAAAGGTGGACATTATAGAGTTATTTCAATTCTTGCAGATAATTAGTGAAGGCTTGAGTATTATGGATCAATCTATGGTATACAGGAATATAATACAATCCACATAAGCCATACAACCATCAGCCTTCATCTTTGGCAAGAGGAACAAATAACATGACAAATTTTGAACATTGAAAGATCAGGTAGTGAAGCAAGAAATTAAATGTACTTGAAACTTGTGTCAAAAAATACCCAAGTGCTACAGTTTCATAAAGCTGCTGGTGGATTCCACTAGTACAGGGGTGTCAAACTCAATTTCATTGAGGGCCGCATCAGCATTGCGGTTGCCCTCGGGCGGCCCGGTGGGTGTGGCCAGGGTGGGTGCAGCCTACTGGGTGGGCATGGACGGAGTGGGTGTGACCTACAGGGTGGGCATGGCCAGCTCTACATCATTCGCATCAAGGGTGCCCATGGGGGCCTGGGCAGGAGTGGGACAGATCTGAGGGTCTCTGGCAGAAGGGGGTGGGACCAGGGCAAGTGCCAAGGCATGGTCCCCTGGAGGAGCCTCACTGTTCCTCTCAGGCATGCGGGGGAGGCTGAATGGTGATGCCAGCCTGGCCCTCGAGCACACGCAGCACCAAGCCCAGCCCCATTTCCCCAAGGGGGCACCCAGCTGCACTTATCTCCTCCTCAAGGCTGCTGCTGCTGTGCTTACTCTCCTTAGCCAGGTTGCTCATGATAGGTACAAGGGCAAAGTCAGAGGGAGACCCATTCCCTCTCCATGGGAGGAGACCCGGCTTTGTATCCAAAGCTTCCTTAGCAATAGGATGAGAGACCCCCAGGATAGGCCAGGAGGAGGGGGCAAGGGGATGGTGAAAGGGCAGCAGGGCAGGACTAAGGCAGGAGTTCCCTCTGACCCTCCCTCTCTTTCTTTCCTTCTTTCTTTCCTTCCTTCCTAAGTACAGAGTGGTGGGAAAATATTTGAGATAATGGAGGGAGAAAAACAGGCAAGAAACGCAGCTGTGGAGATGTCACCCTTCGTGAGGAATGAAATGATATGTGGTGTCTGTTTGTTAGTAGTAAACAACCCTAACAAAGGCTTATGGTCTGTATAGACTGTGAAATAGCGGCCATATAAGAAATCATGAAATTTCTTTATACCAGCCATTATGGCCAAGGCTTCTCTGTCAATCTGAGCGTAATTCCGCTCTCCAGATGACAGAGTCCTTGAATAATAGGCCACAGGGACTTGTGTCCCATCAGCCTTCAGATGGCTAAGTACTGCTCCCACCCCATAAGGAGATGCATCACATGTGATGCAAACAGGCAGTTGCTCATTGAAATGCACTAAAACAGCATTAAAAGTGAGCAAGGCCTTAACCTCGTTGAAGCTCTTGTCATGGACTTTAGTCCACTGCCAAGGAGCCTGCTTGTCTAAGAGCCTATGTAACAGCTCTGCCACTGCAGCTTTTTGTGGGAAAAATGCATGGTAAAAATTTAAGAGCCCCAAGAAGGCTTGTAGCTCACTCTTGGACTTGGGGCTTGGGGCCTGTTGAATAGCTTGTAGTTTAGCTTCAGCAGGGTGAATGCCTTGGGCATCAATCCTGAAACTAAGAAATCAGTGGAAGTGACTCCTATCTTACATTTATCCTGCTATAGCTTAAGGCCTGATTTTCTAAAACGAAACAAGACAGCCCTTAATCTTTCTGCTAAATTTTGAGATGACTTTCCAGCAATGAGGACATCATCTAAATAGGGACAGAACCCAGGAATACCTCGAAGTGTGCTTTCCATGACACTTTGGAATATGCCAGGAGCTACATTGATCCCAAATTGCAGTCTCTTGACCTTGAAGGCCCCCCTGTGAGTTACAATAGTCTGGGCCTCTGCAGCTGCCTCATCAACAGGTAGCTGTTGATAGGCCTGTGCCAGGTCAAGCTTCGCAAAAATGTGCCCCCCCTTGAGGGAGGCCAGGATGTGGCTTACAACAGGGACTGGATAAGCGGGCTGTTGTAATGCCTTATTCAGTGTACACTTGTAGTCTGTACATATACGTATTTCCCCATTAGCCTTTAGAGGCATTACTATGGGAGTTTCCCATGGACTAGAATCCACAGGTTCTAAAATGCCCTGCTGGAGCAATTTGTCCAGTTCAGCATCTATCTTACCTTTGAGGCAAAAGGTACCCTCTGATGGGCATGATGGTTGGGTCTAACCATAGCAAAATGGGAGGCCCCGTGAAGGATCCTAGCTCTGAACTAAACACATCTGCAAACTCCTTGCAAACCTCTGCAAGGCCCAGTGTTTGCAAACTGTGGAGCCCAGTTACCTGGATTCCCAGGGCCTCGAACCAATCGAGTCCAATAAGACTTGTACGATCACCCCCAACAACCACCACATCTAGGGAACCTTCAAAATCCTTATACTGTACCTTAAGGGTGGCCTCCCCCTTAACACACACCATAGAATTTTGAAAGTCAGTGAGTCTTAGACTCGATGGCCTGAGTTTAACTCAAAGGCCACTACTGCAGCAAATCCTTTTAAAGGTATTAATTGAAATAATGGAAAGAGCAGACCCTGGGTCCAACTCCATTAGTAAGGGAACCCCTTGCAACCTTACGTTAAGGGAAAGTTTCTTCTTAAGGGGCTTGTGTGTTCTTGTTCTTAGAATACTTCTGCGCGATGCACAGAAACCCACCCTATTTTGGCTGGGGACCCTGGTACCTTTCTGAAGCAATTCTTCCCGAGGTTGAACCTTCTGGCGACCCAAACAGATGCATGCAATGTGGCCTTGCCTGCCAAACGCCCTGCAGATGGTGGAGCGAAACCTGCAGTCCGCTCGTTTGTGATGTCCTCCACACCCGAAGCATTGAAGAGATGCTGTGGCTTTTACCGGACATCCCTTCTGCCTCCTTTCAGCTGGCTGGTGAAGCCTGTCAACCTCCTCTTCAGGATCCACTTCTGATCCTTCTCAAGCGTCCTCTTGATGGATGGTAACTGTTTCTGGAGGATTTCTAGCAAGGCACAAGGCCTTCACAGCCCCGCCTGCTGCTTCCTCAGCTGCCACCTCTTGCAACGCATCTTGGAAGGAGACATCTTCCTTTGCAAAAATCTTTTGTTGCAAGTCTCTGCTTCTTAAACTGCAAACAAAGCAATCTCGCAGCCTTTCTTCCAGATCCTTGAACTCACAAGGTCTTGCTGCTTGCATTAAGGCTGCAATAAAATCCGCAGCAGATTCACCCAGCCTCTGGTCTCTCTGCTTGAATGCGTGCCTCCAAGCAATGATGGATAACTTCAGCCGGAAGTGTTCCTTCAACATTTTCTTCACGTCAGCATATGCTACTGACTCCAGAGGTGCAGGGGCCACCAGATATTCTGCGATGTAAAAAGCTTCTTGTCCACAGGCAAACAAAAGAGTTGCTGCCTTCAGGCCATCTTCTCTAATCTGATTTACTCTGAAGTAATTCTCCACTCATGCTACGTAAGAATTCCATCTCTCTGGGTGGGAGACATCGAAATCAGTCAAGCGGCCAATCTTCAACATTGTAAAGTTTACGATCTTCACCACTCGCTTCCTCTACAAGCTGCTGTTTGGGGAAAGGGTCCTTTAGCCGAGCTCACCCTCCAGAGATGCTATACTGGCAGGCTGGGACACTGATTCAGACGCCAACTTCCCCTCTTCAGGACTTCCTGGTAAATCCTTAAATCTTTTTCTTCAGCTTGCAAGGATCCCACCTTCCTCACTAGTGTTATGTTCTCCGTTTGCGGGCGAATGATGAAGACTCATGATGACAAACAACAATGCTTTATTCTCCTACTCCAACTCCAAGCAAAGAAGCAAAAGGCATGCAGGTCTTTCATAGGGCTTGAACCCGGACAGAGTGAACCAATAAGAGTTCTTCTTTCTTCGCGCCTTGCGCATGTGCACAAGGCTGGCACCGCTCTGTTTGGTCCCAGGCAGCTTTTAGAATGCCCGGGCCCATTTGCAACAATTCTGGGCCTGCTGAGTTTCCTCATCAGGCCCAGGACACAACAGGGTATGTCTAGTTTAGTGAAGAGAAGGATGAGAGGGGACATGATAGCAGTGTTCCAATATCTCAGGGGCTGCCACAAAGAAGAGGGTGTCAAGCTATTTTCCAAAGCGCCTGAAGGTAGGACAAGAAGCAATGGATGGAAACTAACCAAAGAGAGAAGCAACCTAGAACTTCCTGACAGTTAGAATAATTAATCAGTGGAACAACCTGCCTCCAGAAGCAGTGAATGCTCCAACACTGGAAGTTTTTAAGAAGAGACTGGACAGCCATTTATTCGAAATGGTATAGGGTTTCCTGCCTGAGCAGGGGGTTGGACTCGATGACCTCCAAGGTCCCTTCCATCTTTATTACTACTACTACTACTACTACTACTACTACTACTACTACTACTACTACCTCAGTTAACAGCAGCAAATGTTTATCATTACATACTGAGAATCTCAGAAATCATTTTACAATCTAAATTTTATATACTAAACTTCGGTCACAATTATCTCCATTTGTGTTGCCAGAGCCATCATGCAAATGGGCATGATATTTTCAGATCTAAGCTAGCTAAAAGAGGAAATTGCTTCCAACAATTGGAATAAATATTGCTTAATATTGATAATCCTATCTAAAGGAGTGACAGCAGTTTGGAGGGAGACCAAATGGCATGTAATGTGACAGTGTAGGAATATAGCACATCAGGGTACATGTCACAAATATAACAGTTCAACCATTTCTAATTCGGTTCATATTTTGTTAATTTTCTAGGATGGCATCACAGAGACCATTCGAATCTCTATTTCCTCATTTGACTTTAGAAACTAGTAGTTCCCTCCCAGCTCTGAGGCTAATGTTTCTGACCACAAAACTAGCTTTTCCAACAGCACAGATCCCAAAATGGGCTTCCAGGAAAGGAAAACATTTGATAAAATGTCCCTCCAACACTGCCACTTAACCTTTTATTAAATCTATCCTATGCTTGAACCAAATGTAGATAAGAGTATTATTCTATGCATATAACAACCAAATGAAGAAAGAGAGATGCAAACATTTTTCCTCTTTTTATTCCCTTATGCTAAAAGCTTAGCAGTGTTCGGGGGTTCTTGGAGATTCCAACTTTACAAGAATTCCATTGTAGAAGAACAAAAGCATTGTCTAGTTTGATTTTGGAAAAGTGCTACATGAATTATTTCATGCTTTCAAGACAGGCTTAGAATCATTACCCCAGGTTCCCATAACATGTTTAAAATGTAATGCCTTCTTCTGAGCTTGATTCTTGCTGATTTCAAGCACATCACCATGTCATTTTCTTGGCAAAAGCACAAGATTCACCATCATTTGTTTCTAGAATGTTTACCATTACTTTAATATAGTCCTTCCAGAAAATATGTCTCCTTATTTCCAAAGACATAGAAAATATTTGTGAATTATATTTCCTAATAGCTAGAGGAAATTGCTTTATTGTTTCTAGAAAACCAATATATTCAATATGATTTAAACATTTAAACATTCTGCAGATGGGAAGAAGGAGTAATTTATCCCTGGTAGAAAACCCTAGCACATACTGTAAATTATGTAACCAAAGCTGTGTGTGTGTGTGTGTGTGTGTGTGTGTGTGAATTGCCATACTGATTACCTTATCTCTTCTTATGCAAGGTGATTTAGACTCAACTTCCTATTCTGCTGATAAAACCCATGTATCCAATCCAACATCTCACTTTAATGCTGTTCCTTGAACTGTAAAGGGTTTCTTGGTAATGGATCAGTAGAAAATCCATTTCCAGGCATAGACAATAAGTGTGTTCTCTACTTTCCCATTCAGTAGTTGCTTGCAGAAGTAGATGATGTAGAAGAACATGCTGGTGACTAATCTTTTCATATATTTATAGCTACGGTTTGTTTATTTATGTGTGTCTTCTTTATTATAGCATTAATTTCCTGCTTTCCACTCAAGGCATCATAAGCAGGGGTGGCTTTATTCATGATAGCAATTCATCATGAATAGTTTGGACTGAGAGAACATGACACAAGAACCTAGTTATGTCTTATGCTAGGACTGAGACGTGAAGCTTAATAGTCCCAATCCCAATGCTTTAACCATTATTGTGTTTAATCAATATAGTATAATTGGACCATGTACATATTGACAATGAAAAATCTGATATCCACTATCTGTTATAACTCTTCCTAAAAGTTTGGAGCAATGACCAACAACATAATACTGCATCCATTAGCTCAAGCCACCAAACACTAGTTGCAACACACAATCTGAACAGTTTTATCCTATCTAGCTCTAATGTATTGGCTTAAATTTCTATGCAACAGAAAACTCAGGAATAATCATTCCTATTGCTTAAGATCTCACAGAGATCTTGTTTCTCTCCTTCTTGCTCTCTTCTTATGCATGTATTTTTCTTCTCCTTTCAGAATGATACTTTTTACATTTGCATTGCTGGCATATAAAGCTTATTCTATTTAGCTTTATTTAGAATTGCATATCATCTTGAAATTCTGGCTTACTTATATGTTATACAGATTAAAGATAACTGTGAGTGATGTATCTGTGCTACATGTAGATGTGAAACATTTAACCTATATGCTTTGTTGTATGTTTTTAAAGCATTAAAAGCATACCTGAATTTTACATTTGGAGATTCCCTTTCCATGGATGTGGAGGAGACATCCAACTTTCTCAGGTCTACATGTCTGCATAGAACCCACACGTGCAGTTTATCTGAGAAAATTTGAGGAATTAGAAAATAATTCAATAATTAATTGGTTGCTTTTTTTCTTTGTGGGTCTTCCTGATATTCCCCTCTCCCTCCCCAATATTGTCATATTCCAGTCCTGGAATTGTCATATTCCAGTGGTTGCATAAGTAGGGTTTCATCACCCTCTCAGCTCAGAATTACTTTTCTCTTAGTAATAGTTGTCATTTGCATCAATTGCACAGACTATCCCATGTTGGCACTCATACCAATCAAGTCTTTCAGAGCAAAACCTAAGATAGCACTGGTCTCTTGAACCAAGTTCAAAAAATCTATTCTGAGTTAGTAATAATAATCATTTGACAATCAGAAAATATTTATGCATCCATTTAATATATAAACAAGTATTTATTTTAAATGCTAAAGAATCCCAGTTACATCCTTATGATTTTACAAAGTCCTTCACCAGTAGTCAAGAGTGTGGAATAACAAGAGGACTAGACAATTTAGTTTAACCAAAGAATTCCTTTTTGCCAAGAAATTAATATGGATGTTGAAGTATGGATGCCTATAAGCATACTTTCCTGGGCAAGACTGGTTTCTAAAATTGATCCTGCTGATCACATCTAATTCTTCAGCACATGTTATCAAGCACTCTGTGAGCAAGCACCTCTGAATGGAAGATATTCCAAGTTTTCTCCAAAGCCTATCCCTACAAATGAGATCAAAATTATTTTAAAAGGCTACAGAGACTCCAGATTGTATTGGTCTATAACTAGTGGGTTGTTTTTCTTCCCTTTATATAAAAGAAAATGACAATTTAAAACTGTCATTCTTTTCAGATACTTGCCTAAAACATAGGTAGATAATATTATAAAGATGATGCTCATAATTCTATGTTAAGTTTTAAGAGTTTGGTAGGGCTGAACATTTCGCCATGGACTTTCACTGTTTTTAATTATATTAATAATATAAAATAATATAAAATAAAATATTAAAAGTTCTAACATGACTCAAGATTATTCACGTAGGGTATTATAGGTAGCATACATTTGGAATCTTTTGTAAACATGGAATGGCAATATTTTTGCTGTATTTTGGTTGAAATTCAACATCAATGCTTGGCTGTTTTTATTGTAAGTGCCACTTAAATGCCAGAAGACTGTATAATTTTTTAGCTGGCAGCTGAAACTAGTCTCCGCCAATCCTTCTTCTGAGCATTCATCTTTTTCTTCCTTTCTTAACAAACACTCTTGAAACATAGTCTGTTCACTGCCAGAATTTGGGATCCAGGCTCCTTTCAACAAAATTGGCTCTTTAGAGTAGACTCCATGGGCTGACTTTATATTTTGTTACAAGAATTGTCAGCTATGCAAATGTCTTTCAATGCTTTAGCAATCCTGTTTTCCCTCTCTGGGTAAAGTTGTAGCCAAGAGATGTCATATCCCAAAGCATTTTGTCTGAACTGTCAACAGCAGCCATACTGAATTCTGTAGAAATGTATTTCTATTCCCAGCGTAAGCTTTGCAAAGAGAATTTTCACCTTGGCTCGTATATTCTCCTTCACCCTTTGGCAGCAATTATTCAGACACACTGAACAATTCTGCCATATATATTAGTAGATCTGCCTATAGAGTGAATGCATAGAACTTGGCACAGTTTTCCAAATATCCAGTAGTAACTTTTAATTCTAGGACTTCTAGTTTACAAAGGAGAAAAGCATGATGACTAATTAAACTTTTACTTAGTTTGCACTTAATTCAATTTCCCCAATGTGGTACCTTCCAGAAATGTGGAGAGCAACTAGCTGAAGAAAACATTTGCTATCTTTGTTTCAGCTAAGAAGAATCCAGTGACATAAACTTTTACTACTGTTTGGAAAAGTACCATTTGAATGACAGGCCCAAAATATAGGTAATTTTCCATTTTATTTCAAAGAGCTTCCAAAATAAGCTTTCAAAGTGCAATATGTTCTCAAGCAGCCTATAAGATGAATGAAATCCAATTAAATAAGTGAGGTATTTTATCACTGCACTTTTATGGAGCAAACCTTATTACCTTAAAATGGTTGCATGGTATTCACCCATCCATATTCAATTAAAGAAAGGAAGAGCCAACCAAGCTGCATAGCTATCATCCCTGTCAATGTCAATCCTTGGAATAGCCCCCAAATGTTACCAAGGGCTATTTACTAAACTGCACATTTTTAAATGACAGGAAAATTACTAGGAAGACTGCTGAAAAAGCTGAAGAACTAAACAATACATCTGAATGTATTATGTATAAGATTTCTTGCAGTCGTGTTCACAGAGGTGTAATTGTTGTATACAGAAGCCAGTTAGATGTCTGCTGGATAGTATGACTGAGATTTTTGAAATTCCCATTCATCCCTAATAGGACTCTGTGCACTGGAGTTTAAACAAGCATTTGGAGAAAGTGGCATAAAACTAAATAAGATAAAAACACATTTAAGAGGGATAGTCTCACTTGTGCACAGCTGGACATCTAAGTTATATCATTCACAGCACAGTGAGCCATAGAGTAGTTCCTGCAGAAATGATATGGTTGGGTCTTCTTGCTAGTCTTTTTTTTTTTTTTTTTTTTTTTTGATAGCGGCAGCAGTAGCAGCTCTGAAGAAAGTTCCAAGGTTAAAGTGTCTTTTTGTCAAACAAGCCAATTTGAAATGGGATACGAGATTAATGGAAGGCAAGCTTAGAGGCACACTTTTCAGGAAGAGATGCACAAATCTGCCTTGTCTTCACAAGCTCTATTGAAATAGTACCTAGCATTGACTTTTAGTATGGTGATACTTTCATGGAGCCACTTTAGGCAAAGGTGTGTGACAAGAGTGAGGTCATAATTATATAGTGGCATGTTAGAAAATTATAAAAGCTTTCTTTTAATTGCAGATAATAAACAGGTGCATGATATTATCTAGTCAGTCATGTCTGACTCTTAGTAGTTCTATGGCCAGGTCTCTCCACATATTCCGATTTTGTACTACTTCATTGAGTTTGTCTGTGCTCTGGCTGGTATCATCAGAACCTAGAATAAAGTCCACTCCTACCTGCTTAAACACAATTTACTCTCAAATATAAATAACTTTATTGCAGTCATTAACTAGCACAAACTGTGAAGGCGATCTGGCTGCAACATCTGTCACTCCATTGATCACTCAGGTTGTTTCAGCAGATCTGGCTGGCTAGGTGGGTATCCCCATCCTCCCTCATTGCTCCATGTGCATCCCTCTGGCAGCTGCAAGTGTTGAGTCCTCGAGTCAACGGCGAAAGAAGAGCACACATTCTGTTGATTCTAACAGCTTTTATTCTCAGCAGCTCTCTCCGACACAACTCAGAGGCTCGCAGGCCTCTCTGCCTCCTTTAATAGAATCCCCAGGCAAAAAGGTAACAAACTGGCACGCTTCCGCACCTTGCGCATGCGTGCAGGCTGGCGCCACTCAGTCTGGTCCCGGGCAGCTTGCAACAGCCCAGGACCATTGCAACGTCCCGAGCCTGCTTTTGCAGGCTCAGGACACAACAGCAAGCTTGATGAAATATTATAGGGCCACCATCCCAAATAGAAAGAGTGAACTGATCTTTGATCAAGGGTATACAAGAGCTGTACTCCTCTGTTAAAACTTCCAAATAAACTCAAGGTCCATTTGTAGGATAACGTAGGATATCATCAAATGTATCTTTTATTTATTTTATTTATCTGTATACTACATTTATTATTTTTACAAATAAAGTGGCAATCATATTTAACACACCTTCCTCTTCTTATTTTCCCCACAACAACAACCCTGTGAGGTGGGTTAGGCTGAGAGAGAGTAAGTGCCCAAAGGTCATCCAGCTGGCTTTCATGGCAAAGGCAGGACCTGAACTTATGGTCTCCTGCTTTCTAGTCTTGAGCCTTAACCATTAGAACCAAACTGGCTCTTGCAATTGTCACAATGGTAGTGGTGTTATTGTCGTAATAGTAGTAGTATGATTAAACATATAATTATGACTGTAATGAATGCCAAAAAACCTAAAAAGTATAGCTTCACAGTTTGCTGGTCCCCAATTTGATTTAAACTGACTTCCTATGTTTAGCAGGAACAATAGTCTTACAAATGTTGTATCTAGCATAAAATAGTTGCATTTGTTAAATGCTGTATAAATGAAAGGTGGAAACATAATTAAATATTGCATCAACATAAGAGGAGGGGCAACCCATCAACACACAGGCGTACACTCAGAATAAACATCCTTGTTTTGTGAATCTGGGGCCATAATTTTTCTAAAAAGTAAATATAGCTTTGAAATCACAAAGACAGATTTAGGTTAAATGTTAACATCAAATTCAGCAGAAAAGTACGCTGCCTGGAGAGCATATATAACTTTCTATAGCTTTGTTGCGTAGCCATCTATCAAAAATATTAGAGAAAAGCACATTCTATAATTAGGTGGGTTGAGCACTGAGGGAGGGAACAGTGACAGATCTAGCTTTCTACCTCTGTTGAAGCTCAGAGAAATATGAACTACGTGGTCTCTTTTGGCACTTCTGAACTAACTTGTTACTTCAAATGTTTCGGCAGATGCTATTATCTTAAAGTATGTAAGGTTTAACTCTTATCCCTGCTGACATTATACAGGGAAGGAAAAGGGGTGCCATCTGGTCAGTCACCAAAACAACAAATACCTTACATTCATGGATTAATGTTGATGTGGAGATCAATCAAAATCCACATACTATGTTCCCACATCCATATTCCAGCAGAGCTATTGCCAGAAGAGTTGTGAATGTGGTTCTTAATTTAGTTCAGTACATAATAATAACAAGAACATATTTGCTCTGTCAGCTAGGTACTTAGAGGACAAACAAGTGAAGAGTGCATAATACATTCTTGGAATAGGACTAATGGAATGGCATAATATCAAGGACATGCTAGTAGTATCTGCCACAAAGAAGAGGGAGTCAATTTATTTTCCAAAGCACCAGAAGGCAAGACAAGAAACAATGGGTGGAAACTAATCATGGAGAA